TGGCTGCGGTCAAGATCCGAGCTGCTTCGGGAGAGGGACGAACGGACAGCCAGCACCACGTGCTCGTCCGCGGTGCTGAGGTCGCACCAGGGCCGCCGCCCTCTTCGGCAAACTCTCGCTCGGCTGTGGAGGACACGAGGGTGCCTGAGGGGGAAGATTAGGGGGGGGGCCTGATTCAGGGGGGGAACATCGACTTGGATGAAGGGGCCCAGGGACACACAAATAAATACACACAAATAAAAAGATTCCCCATATTTTCCGATATTTTCTGGGCTTCTGGCTTCCCCACCACTTCCCATATTCTGCCATATGTTCTGGGGAACCGACGATTAGTTGTGTCTGTGTGTTTTTGTTCCCTCCTGATTGGAGTCGGCGGTACATCGCCGATGGATCTGCGGTAGGCCGCCGAACCTCCACTGTCGACCAGCGGCCCTCCCCCTTCCGAGGCCCGGCCCCTCCTGGTGCATGCCGTCGGCCCACCGGCGGCCCTCCAGCACGCGGCCGGTGAAGGTGTCCACGATGGCAACCTCCACGCCGCGGCGGGGAAGGGAAGAGTGAGGAGCAGGATTGGGAGGAGGAGGAGGAGAAGGAGGAGGAGGAGGAGGAGGGGGAGGAGGGGGAGGAGGAGGAGGAGGAGGAGGAGGAGGAGGAGGAGGAGGAGGAGGAGGAGGAGGAGGAGGGGGAGGAGGGGGAGGAGGAGGGGGACCAGAGCAAACCCAGATTGCATCAACGATGCTGCAATACACCCTCCCGTCCCGAGTCTCCTCCTCAAAAGCCCCTACAATCGGGGGCGCGCAAACATGGATCGGGGGAGGTGCCCTCCTCAAAATGCGGCCGCTGCCGCCTCGCTCGGCGGCGGAAATCGGCGATTTCCGATGGAAACGGGACCCGCCGCTAATCCACGCCCCCTTGATCCATCTCTGCGATCGCCCGACGCAAGTAGCTTCCCTGGGCAGAGTCCTCTCCACTGCGGGGAAGTCCCCCCCCCCGCGGAACGACGAGCGCCTGGTGGCGCCCGGCCTGCCACCCGGGCGAGACCCTGTTCCGAGCAGGATCCACCCTCCATCCGCCCAGCTTAGACCGGCGGCGCGCACAGGGGGACCGGGGGGAGGGGGGCAGGCTTCTGAGAAGCGCCCCTGCTTCTTAGAAGGCGCGGGCCTTCTCTGTAGATGTAGGGCTGGCGCCCTCTGAGAAGTAGGGGTGCTCCTAAGGAGCCTTCCCCCCTCCCCCTATCCCCCCTCTGCGCGTGGCCGATTAGAAGGAACGCAAAGAGGTAGGATGACAAGATGGTTGAAGGGAACGTCCACCGACAGCCCCGCTTCGAAAACGATGTCCACTCCATCCGAGTAGGTGCAGCACAACTTCGAAGCTATGGTATACGGTGTGTGGGAGTTTCACGCGAGGACACCATTCTAAACGGGGACAACCTTCCCACAGATACACAACTTGGACCTCCAAGCGAGAGCCACATCTTGAAAGCGAAGCGGCCTCCATCGTGTTCAACTGTTGGATGTTTTGCTAATGCGAATGTGCGCGGCGCTAACGCGAGAGTCGCAATCCGAAAGGATCTGCCCTCCGTCCTTGCAACTGCTGCGCGCTCTAGAATGCTGGGCCACAGACTTCGAGGACGTCTGAGGCGAGAGATGCATTTCAAAAATGAACTGGCCTCCATCCTTACAACTGCTGCAAAGTTTGAAGCATGATAGGACAGGCACAAAGACGAGAGCCGCATTTCGAAAATGCCAGCCTCCATCCACCACCCATCCCGTCCTTCTGACTGCTGCAGGTTTTTACAATGAATGCGCGCGGCGCTAAGGCGAGAACCGCATCTAGAAAAAACTAGACCCTCCGTCCTTCTAACTGCTGGGGCGTGTTGAATCAGGATTGTGAGGGAATCTCGAGCGAAGCGACCGACCCAGCCTACGGGCAAGTGTGGTGGTGCGACAGGGAGGGTTACCTATAAGGAAGAGGGGTGGAGGAGAAGGATTGAGGATTTGGATATTTTATCATTTGCCACTTGCCAGGCCTTCGGAGACCTCCTGAACCTCCAGGGAGGAGGAGGAGGAGGAGGAGGAGGAGGAGACGGGCTTGAAGGGACACTGTTTTCGGTGCATCTTATCCCCGTTGGTGTGCCCAGTCTCCTGGTCGACAAGCGCAGTGGTCACCAGCGTCCATCGCGCTTGACACCCCATGTCTGGGCAATCAGTGAGCAAATCGAGGGAGAGTGTTCGGGAAGTGAAACCGCTCACTCCGTCTGGGAGGGTGGAGGGAGGAAGAGAGAGGAGGAAGAGGAGGAGGATCCCAAGGACACTGCGGAGGAGGAAGAGGAGGGGGAGGGCCGAGGATCGAGGATCGAGGATCGAGGACGGAAACTGTACTCTCCGTCCTCGGGCTTCCAGGAGCCTCCGGGGGACTTTGGGAACAGGTGGGGACCTCCGGAGACCTCCAGAGCGAAGCGAGTCGCTCGAGCGGGCAATCGCCGAGGCCCTTAGGGGCGAAG